GCCTACTTCTTCCTTTAAATAGGTGCCTCATTCCCCACAAAATGAAACAGTGGTTTAGGGATGCGTATAATCTTATTTGCCAGCCATGTTTGACTTAGGTGTTGCTTATATCAAACATATTTTAAACACATCAACCCACCACACTTTGACAGTGACTCTGGCACACTTTGTGCTTGTTCAGATGAACAATGGACAGCTCTTTAATTTAGTTTCATGCAAAAAGATCTCCATTTGTGCTAGATTTATTAGTTTTCTCTTTATTTATCAAAATAGAGTAAAACAAGTCAATTTGTTAGTTATTTGTAGTCTGAAGCCGGCTTAGTATTGACTGAGTTATCTTTTCCTGTTACTAGCTCTTTGATTTAAGAGTTAATAAAGGTATTTTACGGGTCAATTCGCCCTCTTTACCACATCGCCTCGTGTTCTGAAGAAGAAATAATAAACCTTGCGAATTCTTTCGTCATTTGTGACTGGATACGTTTCTAGCCGTTCAAATTGCCTTCAAATTTAGAAGAAACTGTCTAAATATCGTTTAGAGTCGTATCAAGACAAATTTACTTATAAAGGTCGAATTGACATTTGGGCGGTTTGGTTTATAAGAAGATTGTGTTGTGTGACAATCGAGGCTTGAATGTCTACTAGGCCCTGATGTGTGACAATCAAGACTAAAGACATAGGGAAACAAGAGTTCTTTCCCTTAGACCATAAAATGATAACTTAACAACAAACATTAAAAAGGGTTTTCCTTTAAGAATAGATAATTACAAACGATAAATTATGGTTTATGGTCAAGAAAAATCTGTTACCTAACTACTACAGTCACATAACGGCCAGATACTCAATAAAAGATGTTAAAATCGACTGGAAAACATTAGAGGCGAAGCGTTACGGGTTTCCATTGTAAACAAATATGTCGGACAGTTTTTGAAATCCATTGTTTAGTCATTAAATTGTGAAAATTAGCAAATTAAAGTCTACTATTTTTTAATTTTTTGTGTTGATTTTTGAGGGTTACAAAATTGTAGTCATAAAGACAACATCCCTATAAACTGAAACCAAACTGAAACTGAAATACAGAATAGAATAATCAAACCATACCGCTTTAAAGAATTCATCTAAACAATTTAAAATTCATTTAGATAACAAAAATACATTTATCAGCAACATTTTTTTTTTTCATAGTCTAATTTTCTGTTTTCCAAATGACCTACAGCCTAGATTTCCTTCCAAGAAAAATTAATCAAGCTCTAAATTCAACAGACGCAGTCTTTCACAATAAATGGAACAATAAACCTTTGCCCAATGTGCTACAGACTGTAGAAATTCAATCTAAAACACAATTGTAGGCTAATGCCCTTGTTATGGCAAAATTTCTCTTATTGCACACTGCATGGTATGCTATATAGCCCGTTTTCATTAGAAGCTGCAGAAATGTAAGACGTAAAATCTCCATTCATTTCATTTCTGAATTCCGCAAATCATAAATAAAAATTGATATAAAAAAAAAACATACAGCAAAAACCACTGCAGTGTCTTCCCTCATTTTCTACACACCAAAGAAAAGTTGAAAAACGCCTAAGAATTATGTTCTTTTGATTAAAATAAAAGAAACTGAATGAATTAAAAAAAAATAATTAAATCTACTTCTTTCTTTCGCCCTTTTTGCCACTTTGCCTTGGGTTATGAAGAATAATTAATAATATTCTTTTCATTCCTATAATGCATCCAAGGGATCAGATCAAGATACTGATAAAATGAAGACAGTGAGAGAAAAAGATGAATCGTTCAAATGAAAAAATAGAAACCCAAATTTGGATATTTATCCTGATATTTGTTTTTAAGAGGTTTGGCCAAGGACCAGCTGGTAGAAAGGATGCTTAATTGTGAACCTAAATTGTTATCCTATATATAGTTGTTTGTTTCTTTCTTTCTTTCAAATAGCCATTATAAACAGAAAAATTGTCTTTTGTGAGCTAAATAATTCACCGATAAATGGACTTGTCCATCATTAGGTTGAATCTTCATGATGTCAAGCTGTAAAGCTATTCCCAACTTCCATCTTATACATTGACTGCAATAGTCACCATTCTTGTATCCTGAATTCATCGATTTGATTGGATTGAATGCCAATGCCAGCGAATACAGCCAATCAGTGCTCTGAGCTCTCATTGACTGTGTTGCTAACATACTATCAAACCAAATCAATGCATTTACAACCTTCCATGAAGCAAAACAAAATGGCTATTGCAGACTCTGTTGTAATAGCTTGACATCATGAAGATGGGAATATTCAGAATACAGGTGAATCAAGCTGTGAACTCACTGAATCAATACTGTACATATCATCATAACCACAACATGTTTGTCCTCGTGTCAATGCTTAATGCAGTTTGTCTTCTCTATTGTTATTTTGTCATTAAGCTTAGATTTGGTGATGAAACCTCTAGTTTTTTGTATTTGTGAGGTGTTTTTGTGGGTGCAGTGCACTAAACAAAAAGGGCTTACTCTTTCAACCGACATGCGTTGCCATTTTATACGATCTTCAGTAGCCTATGACTCAAGACAAATAGAAGCTTTGTATCTATGTAAGTACATAGAGAAACTGCAACGTAGAAGGTAAGAAGGTTTGACTGCAGTTACACTATCACTGTTAGTTTGACTGTTAATTAGAACTTCCCAACATTTAGTCTTAATTAGATCTCCCAATGCACTGACATCTCATACTGAGGCAATAATCACACACTTCAAAGTATTCTCTACAAAATCAACACAAAAAATTTATAAAGAATGGACCTTTATTCCTTTATTTTCACAATTTAATGAATGTATACAATGAATTTCAACACACTGGTCCGCCATATTTGATATTTTGTTTACAATGGAAACACCAACGCTTCGCCTCCAATATTTTACAGTTACAGTCAATTTCAGCGTTTTCTATTGGGTTCCTGACCTCCATGTGTCTGTGATAGTTTGGTAAAATATTTTCTTGACCATGAACAAATAATCAGTGTGTATATTCCTATATTTCCAAAGGAAAACATGTTTAAAAAAAGTTTTTATTATAGTTAAAATTTCCAGGGAGTTATCTTCCCGTGAAATTAGTCTAAGGCAAAACCGCCCAAATGTCAATTCGTCCCTGATAAGTAAATTTGTCTTGGCATGATTCTAAGGCGAAATCTAGAAAGTTTAGACTACACTACAAGACCACTTGAACAGTTTTCCATGTCAGTTATATGTTAAAAATTAAAAGAATTCGTAAGTTCTAGTATTTTCTTTTTAGAAATTGTACGAACTGGCAAAGAGGGCGAAATGACTTAATAATGACCCTTCTTTACTCCAAAATAAAGAGCTAGCAACAAGAAAAGATAACTCAGTCAATACTAAACCGACTGCAGACTACAGTTAACTAGTAAAATTAATCTATCTATTATGCTAAATGCAGAGAAAACTAACAATTCTACAACAAATTTATGTCATTTTACATGATAATAAACTAAAGAGCTGTCCATTGTTAAGATGAATTTGCGTGAAGTCTACGAGAGTCATTGTCTATGTGTAGAATGGCATTAGTCCCTTTACAAGCAGTTTCCCTTCCTTTTTGAACGTTGATTTCCATCATAGACAAGGTAGAAAACGACTCAGTCATTCTTCAAAAGTTACGCTTCATGCTAGGTCTATTAACGCCGATTTGAGCCTTCATAGAGCAGTCTCGGCACTAATCCGTTTTAATTCGACATAGTACTCTTTGGAAAAGGCTCCACTCGCCAATTTCCGTACTTCTAAAAACGCCCGATTCTCGAACGGTGACCCGTCATTGAAAACCTAAACAACCGATTTTTGGCGTCATTCAATGGAGTTGTCCCCCTTAGACCGTAAATCACAAAGGAGTAGACTTGATTGTCCAATAAGCAACACAATTGTTCTTGAATTTAGTCTCGAATATCAAACATAAACAAATCACAAGTAATAAAGCACTTGAGTCTCAATTGTGAATCGGGTTAGAGAAGATGTCACTAAATCAAAGCACTACCATGGCAATCAGACGATTGGATTACATTCTTTTAAGTATCTCTGAGGTCTTCAAAGCGTTTTTAAACCTTGGCTTGTCTTTCTTTAGCCGGAATTAGGAAGAAAAAATCTCGAAGCGGTGCCTCTTACACAGCCAGTGGTCAGTGCGCAGTGCCAAATTAAACACAATCTATTAGTCAAATGGTACAAAATGCAAACAAACTTGGTCAATTACCTACATAAAGCTTTTATTTTCATGAATGTTGTCTTCTTGTCTTGCTCTATAACCTGACTGAAGGTCCAGGGTTCAATCCCGGCACAGCTTGAGATGATATACCTTTGGAGTTTCCCCATGTCAGTGATTTAGATTGGAAGGGCTGACATGGAAAAAGCGTCTAGTCTTTTTGATAGGAAATAGACCATGCGCTACAGACTGTGCACGTTAAAGATCTCTCGACAGTTAGAAATAAGAAAAAAAGAGTAGAATAATGCAGCTGTCCAGGCAAAATTCCCTCATTGCACACTGCATGGCGTTCGTCTTCATTAGGTGCAGATAATAGATATTTGAAATGTTCGATTCAGCTCAAGATACTTTGTTCCTTTTTTTTCTTGTGGGTTACTTCACTTCACTTAACTAGGCCACATATTCTCGAAACGATCTTAGTGCTAGGATGTCCTAGAAACAGTGTTAATTTAAAAGATGTATAGTAAAGGACTCCTCAAAAGAGAAGTATCATCAGGTGTTTTGAAAAGAGTAAGCTTGGTCTGCTTCGAGCAACATCACAAGATACAATCAGATCAATTTATGCCTGAACAAACAAATCAGCCAAGATGCAATATGTGTGTTATGTTTTCTGTTTCAACATTTGTAAGATTCAGAATAATAAATGGCTTTTATTGATTCCACAGGACATTTCAACCTCCTCTCATAAAACCAAGGAGACGTGCTGTCAGATAGAAGAATATGAAAGAAACAAACAAAATACTTTAATAAGTTATTTTTAAAAATCTTTTTGAGGACGGACGTTTCACATTATCACAGAAAAAAAAAATAGATAAAAATTAAAATCTGGAAAGGTGAAGTGAAGGCCCTGTTTCTCAAACAAATCTTTTGTGGTCAGCAAGACTAAACTTGCACAGTAAGTGTAGAAAAACGATATTTTTGACGTTATCAAAGTAAAACAGGGGCCTGATCACCCAAATCAGTAGCTAAAATCTACATTTTAAAATCGAGAATGAAGTAATGGTGTTCAGTAAGAGATGGTATTCTCTGTTTGTTTCTCTGTAACTTGTTTTCCTGGAATTCTATAACTGGTGCCGAACCAAGTGTCAACCAGACTGATATCTAGCTGTAACTCTAAATGGGTGATGAACCTCGTTCCGTCATCCATCTATAAATACATTGAAAAATAGAATTTTTTTAAACGATTATGTAATGTCATAGGATGATTAAAGGTCATAGTGTGTATCTCCGTCAGCTGGGATAAACCTTTTTTCCTCTTGTCATGAAAAGGCATGTTTTCAATATCAGCTCGTCTGACCAATGTTGCTGATGGATATGATCTCAATCAAGGATCACAACCAGGATCTTCAGGTTAGCGATGGTGTCGTTTATACATTGCAAGGCATCAATAAGGCTATTCACAATCAAAATATATATACCTCATTCAGTTGTATCAATACTTCTACATCCACTGTTTTTATCGTCATTTCTAATTTCGACTCATCTTTATACTCAAAATCCATGGCTACATCTACAAATATTAAACAAAGATAAAACATACTTATTAAAAAAATACCAAGTATTTAGATCTTGAATTAGATAAAATAATCCAAAAAGTTCATATAAGAAGATGTCATTTTAAATTTAAACAGAAAAGTAATTTTTACAGTAGATAATCTCTGAAGAAAAGATGACTTACTTTTTGTGGTTTCTTTACTCATGGTGTAGACTGGAGAGCTGAAAACAGAAAAATATTTTTAAAAATTTACAAATACCTCATAGTTAGGATGAAGACAAACATGCAGTGTGCAATGAGGGAAATTTGGCAGGAAAGCGGCATTAGCCTACTGTTTGTGATTTTCAACTAATTAGGAAACTTCAACTTGTACAGCATCTAGCACACAGGACCTCAATTTATTGTCTTATCCAAATGACTGGTCACTTTTTCTGTGTCAGCATCTCCGACCTGCATCACTGACAGTGGGAAATTGGGTTGAAAAATCACAAGATGTCAACCTAAAATGCGAAAGAACCCAGCCTATAATGTAAGTGAGCAAAACTTAAAGCACTGAGCCATTATATAATTTTGTATAAACTGAGTTTTTTTTTAGCCTTTTCTTTCTTTTACCCCTTTCAGAACAGAACTTAATTATGATTGTTTAAAGATTTTATGCTACAAAGTCCTCCCTTAAAATTGTGGAATGACCCTACCTTTGGGATATTTACCCTCAGGTTGAAAACCTCTTGTATAAAAAAGGATGAATTTTCATATCGAAAATTTGTCAAATGATAGTTCACCTGGGATAATTTTTATCGAACTTACCTGAGAGACCAGAACACCTCTCCTCGTTCATCTAATAAAGTTACGTCTAACCAACATACATCCTGTAATAATAAAATAAAATGGAGTTTTATATTCTTATTTCATTTCTCGGGACTAATAAAGACATCATAAATGGTACAAAGTTTAAATTTGTCAAGTTGTCTCCACTTTTTAAATTTCCAACTGTTGAGGAATAACATGCCTAACTGACAATGAGAAAAAAGTTTGTTTTAGCCACTAATTTTCTGATAAAACACTTACAATAAGAAACAGATTAAATTCTCCACCTACCTTGACGATACCTTTAAATAATTCTGTTTTCCATGGCAACTGTATCTGCTTATCAACAGGCAGACGGTCTGTGACATCATTACTTCGACGTAATATAAGAGCACATATATTATTCACTGAAAAGTAAAAAGGAACCTTACATCACAATCAGGTATAATGGGGTGAAGACTCTCTGAAGTACTGGCCATGGCATTTGATTTTTTGTTACCTTGAGGAAGTTCACAATCAGGCTTTAAGTTTGGCCAAATTATAAGGAGATTATTACCAAAATACAGCTACCCTACATAAAGATTGGAAATACAATAATTAATTCGCTTAGCTGCACAATTTGGGTTTCTGAAACTAAGGTGCGATTCACCTCCGTAAATGGTGAACCACAGCCTCAACTTTATTATTAGACCTACCTATATTGTTCTGTTTACATTCCAAACCCTGGAACTGTTGATTCCAGATAGACTGCCTGATATTCCGTAGTTCAACTGTACATTTATAATGATGTAAACCTAAAAATATAGGTAGCCTGAGATCAATGAAATTATTAAGTCTTGATTTAGGAAATATTCTCATTGTAGATGTCTCACTACAATTCAGTGAGATTGTTACTTTGCCCAATAACACTTTAGTCCTATATTAGAAAACTCACAATACAACCATTTACAAAACTAGCTGTCCTGATGAGGGTTGTGTACACAAAACATGTCAGCAGCATGAGATATATGAGGATAAGTCAATAAGAAAATGGACTTAAAATAAAGAAATAATGAAATAGAAGAATGTCTTTTAAAATAATCCTACTGAAACTATAAATGTATGTATACAATTGTAAAATAGTTGACATATAACAGAAGTTTGAAAGTAAATATTTACCGTAATTAGGATCAATATCATCTGATATAACCTTATGTTCTTTTGGTTCGTATTGGCTGGAATTTTAAACAAATGTATCAAAATGTATTTCAAATCTTATCTGTAATATTATGAAACCTTCAAAATGATAGTGTTTTGTTCAGAATTATTTCTATTGCTGCCTGTACCTGCACTAATTCAACTTCATCTGACTTTCATGTTTTAACCCAGGTGAAAATGATGGTAATGATATAAATAACGTCAAGTTTCTCATGACCTACTATACCTACAAATTGAGTAACAACATGTTTCAGGTTCTGTTATAAAATTTCTACCTACCATTTATAGGAGCCTAGTAAACATCGGTTTATAAAATTATTGTGATGAAAACCACAAACAATAAACGCCAGTTCTCCATCAGCCTGAAAATATATACTTTGGGGCATATCTAGAAAATGATGTATGGGGGCTGTCAGAGGGCCCCCAAAACAACGGATTAGATAAATCCAGAAAATAAAACATTATATGCATAATCTTAACTAATCTGAATATTTGATTCTTGTCCATCTGGAATCTTAGTCTCAACAAGCTATAAAACAGTGCAAGAAAACCCTGAAATGGCTTCTAAATTGTTAGTTTCCACAAGAGACATCCCTCATAAAGGAAAGGAAAACAAATTTCACTGCCTGAAATTTCCCTTGAATTGCTCTGTGTACAATCTTTCCCTTACCTTCCAAGTTGCTAAGAGTATATCATTGGATATTTTATACAACTGGATATTCTCATCTTCTTTAATGGGTTTATTCTCTTTCTTCCAGTTTTCCCATTTGATAGAAACTTCAGTGAGTAATGATCTCTGGTAAGGGCTTGAAAAAAGGACACAAATTATCATATTTTAGTATCCATAAATGACACATAAAATAACAAGTTTTCCTGACGAGGACATTTTATATAAACATGTCTCAGCATCATGAGATGAGCTCCAATCAATTTAATCTTATTTATAGCCACAGCTTTATGGAACAACAATCACTGCTTAAAGTTAATGCAATGTTCGACGTCTTTTCCCCTAGGGTTAGGCATCCTCAGGCACAGAATGTTAAAACCTCAACCCCCCTTTAACTAAACTCCCATTCCACTCCACGCCCTGCCCCTGCCCTCAAGATAAAATTCACTCACCTGTTTGGAATGACCACTCCCTGACTATTAAAAAACAGGGGGTTACAGGAGAGTATTTTGAGCTTGCGTAGAGATTTGATAGCGAGGCCCTGTAGGTTGTACCAGCGTATCGACACAGACATGGTATGGTAAAATATATCACTAGATCTATACGATCTTTCTACTCCGTGATTGTCTAATGTCGTCAGCTGATATGTGATTCCGCATTTCCTGAAAAAAATATACAATGTCAAACAAAATATTAACTGTGAAAAAGTCATTATTCCTGTCAAAATAGCTTGTACAGTGATTCAAAATATCCTGAAATATTTATCAATGTCTGGAAAATATTGCTTCAAATCCTGATTAGTAGACTTCAAGAATCTTTCAATATATCAATTCTTATTCTTGTCAAAAATGTGGATATTTCTTACCTCATTTAAGACAACCAAGCTGTAAATGGGTAACGATAATCTGTTTAAAATGTTGGAACAAAGTTTCTAAAGAGCCAGAACTATTTTCCTAACAAATAATGTCTGTTAATTTTTTTACCTGCTAATTACAGCAGTGTTACACTTGTGTTTTTTATGACAAGACATACCCCTCCCCTTGTTCCACCCCTAATCCTGATCCCTTACTTAACTCTGAATTTAATCTGTTTCTTATTGTAAGTGTTTTATCAGAAAATTGGTGGCTTAAACAAACTTTTTTCTCCTTGTCAGTTAGGCATGTTATTCCTCAACAGTTGGAAATTTAAAAAGTGGAGACAACTTGACAAATTTAAACTTTGTACCATTTATGATGTCTTTATTAGTCCCGAGAAATGAAATAAGAATATAAAACTCCATTTTATTTTATTATTACAGGATGTATGTTGGTTAGATGTAACATTGTTAGATGATTGAGGAGAGGTGTTCTGGACTCTCAGGTAAGTTCGATAAAATTATCCCAGGCAGACATATACTCACTTCAAACATTTGACAGTATTTTCAGGTAATCCAGTATAAAGATGAATTCTCTTCATCATTTTTTGTACATTTTTATTTCTTTCTTCAGAACATCTGAAAGTAAACAATTCAAACTTCGCTACAAAAAATCAACTACTCAAACCATATCCCACAACAGAAAACATGAAACCAAAATACTTTCAGCTTCTATAGAGTAGATTTTGTTGGTTAAATAAATAATTTCATTTCAACTAAGAGGGGTGTAGAGGGGGGGAGCCTAGTGTTACAGATGAGCCTAATTTCTCCTTTTCTCCCGCTCATATGTAGGCCCTTTATTGACAGAATTGTGAATTAACATTACTGCTGTCCTTTTTTTCAAGATTAAAGAATTTTCATTAATTTAAAGTTACCTTTTTAAACATAAATCTTTCCAGTACGACAATGGCAGCTTTCCTGTTGGTATGACTGGCCTTCCTTTAAATTTGGCATAATTTTTATAGATGGTAATCCATAGTGAGCTGAAATCAATATAAAACAGGTCCAGATTTTTTTCGTGTAAGGTTACCCAACTGTTGAAAAGGAATCAAAGTTTTTTTTAGAAAACACTGATTCAACCTAACATTCTCTCACAAGCTTGTTTCAGAGGGTCTGAATAGCTAATAATGTTTACTAGTATTCAGGTTTGTCAACTATATATCCCTTTCTGAGAGTCCACATAGCTTATAATGTATATTTGGTATTTAGGTTTGTCAACTCGACATCCCTTTCAGAGGGTCCACATAGCTAATAATTTTTTTAGTATTAAGGTTTATCAACTCGGCAACTCACATAGTCTTCATAGCTAAAAATGATATACCGGTTTCTATTTTACCGAAAACTAAAAAATTTAATCTTACTTGTCATTTGTAATTTCCTGCCATTTTTTACAAACACAAGCAGAAGTGAGAAGAGAGGCAGCATCAAGATATTCAAAAAGTTCTAACAATAATTCATCTGGTAGACTGAAATAAAAATGAAACAGTTTTACATCCTAGATGCTACCTAAGCCTGGATCGAGCACCAGAGTCAGTGAGCAAAATACAAGAATATCATGGTATTTCAAAATATTTCAAAATAGTCTGCAGTCATGGGAGCCAACTCATTGAACAAGGATGAGAATTCAATAACAGGAATATTCTACTAAGACTCCTGTCTTACACCAAGCTGATTAATACCCTAATACTTACTGACTAATATTTGCCTTGCCATGTATAACTGGAGGTGGTTTTCTCTTTATAAATCTTGGTTTTCTGGACTTGTCAGCATAAATTCTGAAAAATGATATCATGATAATTTATTTCAAAAAATATTGAATGCAAAAATAGTAGAAATCTATTCTTTGTCCATGAAGCAACCAACTCCAAAATTAAAAAGTACGGAAATTATGGACAGACCAAAAGCAGGACAGATTGTCAGTAAGTTTTGTAACTCTGTGTCCCAAGCCAGTCCGTATTTCATAACTACATCAGTTTACGACTAGCTTAATCCCCCCCCTCCCCCCCATCCTCATCCGCCTTTAACTTGTCAAGATTATACAAGCATAACATAAATAAGCAAGGCCTGGAGTATGCTAATTAATAGAAAAACATACCCCTGTTTATCTTTTGACGTAGGCTGTGAATTTGATATCTGTTTCTCTGTGACCTTATGTTTATTCAAATAGTTCGCCACAACTTTCTGATGATTAACAGCCATTTTTAATATCTTTTTTCAACTTTTTTTATTCCATCAAAAATTACGTCTCATTTCATTTGAAAATTGTTTACCATCTCAACCGAATTTACTTCCGGTGAAATATTTGTAGTCTATTTCCAAATAGAGAAAGTTAGTTGTAGTCTGATTTACAAAGAAATTAACTGGAGTAGCCTCCATGGTAATACAGTTCCATTACTGTACTCCCGCCACTTCTAAAATTTACTCGTTGGTAAGGGAGAAGGAAAGGGAATTTTTACCCTTAGAAATGTTTTTCAACATTGTAAAATAGGGGTTCATTTATTGAATTCCTTGAGAATCTTAGGAAAATGTCAAATTGGCAAATTAAGGCAGTATTTTTATGTATTCTGTATTTTATTTTTTGCTAATCGTTTCCACATATCTATTGCTTTGCTTTGGTCTTGATTGTCATGTCTTGTCCTTTTTTTGGAACATTAGTAAGGACAGATCAATTTTACATAGATCTCCTAGTCATAGTAGTCTTGTTTTTCAAAAAAGTTTTGAAAAAAGGTCGCCCTGGAGCCCCAAGTCGTATCTTGTGTCCAATGTAATATTGTATTGGCCCAGTTGTCTCATAGCCTAATTAGTCCTAGTGAAGTCCGAAACATCTGGCTCTATCCCAGCTACTTAGTCTAAATCTGATACCTATATGACAGTTGTCGTCTGGAGTAAGGTCAGAAAGCAAGTCTTAAATCTCGTATTTGACGCAAGATTGTCATTTTGAACTTCAATTTAACAGAAGTACTGGCAAAATAGAGACTGGCTTAATATTCTCTATGTTTTATAAATGTTAAAAGAGTGTTTTCTTTTCTTCTAGACTTTTATCGAAGTAAAATATTTAACGTATAAACGTGGAGATGGAAAGTGAAGAAGACTCGACACAACCTCCAGAACAAGACATCACACCACAACACTTCCCTATGTAAGAATCTTCAGCTACAATATCTGTTATCTCATGCTTTTGTCTGATTTTTTTTATATAAAATTGTACCCTCATCAGGACAACTGCTGTTGAAAATGTGATTATCTTTCCTATGAGGGCCTATATTTAGGACATACAGGAAGAGATGAGCTGATAAGACTCTAAATAATATAACACAGTACCCTGCTTCACTGGTTTCTCCCAAGTTATAACAATAAATGCGCACCTACAAGTGAATCTCGAGTTTTTTTGTGAATGAATGGAAAGATTGTTATCCATAAAATGTGGTATTCTTCCAAATCATTTATGTCTATTTTAAAAAAATATAATATATTGTAGTATTACAAAATGTGGCCTTTCTCTTTTTTTCAGCGAAATTCTAGAAACTGAAGGCTTCAGTCAACAGGTATGTGCAAAAAGAACAAAAACTAATCATTTGAAGAAAGAAAGAAACAACTATATTTTACAATGATATCAACTTAGGTTCATAAAGATCTTTTCTACTAGCTGGTCCGTGGCAAAATCTTTTGATCTTTTCTACTAGCTGGTCCGTGGCAAAATCTTTTGATCTTTTCTACTAGCTGGTCCGTGGCAAAATCTTTTGATCTTTTCTACTAGCTTGTCCGTGGCAAAATCTTTTGATCTTTTCTACTAGCTGGTCCGTGGCAAAATCTTTTGATCTTTTCTGGATTTTCATACACTCTTAAAGAATACACAGTTTCAAGATTTTAGCGTTTCGATGATTTGTCATTGGCTCTATAACTAAGAGTGGTTCCCCTTTGTTTCGTCCTAAGTCAAGTATCAAAAGCCAAACGAGTTATTCCTTCAGCTTAATCTCAATTTAAACAATGGGTCCCATAAAATATCTTTAAATCAATCTTTATAGTAAGTTTGCAAATTCTCAATGTTTAAGATTCGAAACTAACGACAAATTTGTATTTTTGATAAACTGTGGCTATTAAGTCACAGCACGTTTTGCCGCCAATGTGCACTGGTACCTGGTTTCCCTACCTTTTGGTTGCGACGTCAAGGTTGAGGCCAGTTTCTGAAATGGGGTCGCGACTTGGAAGTGGTTGGAACCCTGGCACTAGTACCTTCGTAGTGCAAATAGCTGTATCTTCTGAAAAAATGTGGTTAGAAGGCTAAGTTTGTATTACAAAGTATATCTCGCTAAGTAGCCTGTAAAAATTGTTTAATTTTGTAATTTTTCAGTCCAGTGGAGATGAAAAATCAGGGATGAAATTTGATGTTCTTTTTGACCCAAACTGTAGTCAGTGTAAACCTTTAACAAGACACTTTATCAGTAAAACCAACAAGGTATTAGCTTTTAACTTATTATAAAAATTTCTGCATGTCATGGAATTTTGGTTCAGTGATAAAACTTCTGCATGTCATGGAATTTTGGTTCAGTGATATTGAAATCTGCGGCCTCATTCTCCCAATCATTACTATTGTCTGAACAAAGTAAACAGTTTCTTTTTAGTTTTTTCCATTAATATTCACCGAATAAAAGTATTGATGTGGAATGTCCTAGTACTAACAATTTAAACAGTAATTGGTAAAAGCAAATGAACTTTTCATATGAGGAAGTATATCAATCAAATATTATTCACTGTATAACTATTCAAAATTATGAGGTGTTTTAGCAATTGTATATTTTAATATTTATATATATATCATTTCAGAATACTCTTCCATATTACACCCCTGAGGGCATGAACTGTTGTTCCTACACGGCAATTATTATAAAAATGTTCAAAACTTATACCCAGCAACTCATCAAGGCCCAGAGACAGAGTAAAACGACGACATCGTGGGGAAAACCAGTCATGCCAGGCCGTCATCATTCTAAAACTATCGACTTAAAAAAACGAGGATGCTTGTCTGTAAACATGGATAGCTCAGCCGATGAAAATGAAAAAATTTCTCCTCGAAAACTTTCACCGGATGTTTTTGATTTGAATAATGTTTCGAAATTTGATGTTGAAAAAAGAACACTCATCCCATCTCCTGTAAAAGAAAGTTATCAATTAAATTTTGTTGATAAATCAAAAGACGAAGGAGATTCAAAATTGTACAATTATGATATAGAGACGCAGATATATAACGAGATCCAATCGTCTGAGAATGAGGCGGCAGACGACAGTGATTTCGTACCTGAAAAGGAATCTTCGAAACAAAGACGTGCAAAACCGAAATCAAAGCCGACACGTAAACGGAAAAAATCCATATCTCCAATAGAATTTACATCCAAGAAAACTCCACAGAAAATTGTTAGTGATTTCTTTATGCAAATTCATGATAGCCAATCAAAATTCATCCAGTCAACTTCAAGCCAATGGCTTTCTAAGGATTCAGAACTTGACCAATCAGCTTCAAAAGACTCAAAATCAAATTTTAAAGATTCAAAATCCAGCCAATCAAATTTTAAAGATTTAAAATCTAGCCAATCAAACTATAGTTCCAAAGATGATTTGATTCTTGCCAGTCAAGATTCCAATGAGATTTTGAATCCTCAAGGAGATATTTATTCTACTCAAGTCTCTCAACAAAAACGAACGCCAAGACTGGGGAGACCTGCAAGAAAAAAAGCAAAAGTGGAGACGCTACCAAAACGTAGAATTTCAATTTCCAGTGATGACGAACTTCTTGAAAAACACTTAAAAGATGTCAGCGTCAAAAAAATCAAACTGAATCCAATTTCTCTTGATAAAGACAACATTTTTAATGAAGGGGATTCAAAAATCAGATCAAAAACAACACGAACATATCAAAAAAAGGCAAGAAATAAAAAACCGGTGGAACCTGATCCTGAAAATGCCGTAGATTTTGACCAACTTCTGTCTCTACCGACTCTACATTACTCCCCTCAATCTAGTCAAAAAACCACTAGTCCCAAAAACAGTCAGTCAGACCGAGAAAACGTTTTGTCTCGAAATGTTCGTCAAATTCAAGGAGAGTCGAGTGACATATCATCCGAGTCACCCATAAAAACTGTGATTAAACGCAAATCTTTCTCTTTGTGGGACAGTGAAGACGAATTAGACTCTAATTTGATTGAACGAGCAAGTTGTAACCAATCAAAAACAGTCGTGAATGTGAAACCAATGCAACAGACGGTTACCAAGGACAATGGACCAAGTACATCACAAGTTACCTCCCCTGGCCACCAATCTAACGTCAATGTTGTTACACCAATCAGACGCCTAGCCCTCGAAGTACAGCCAGAAGATATATCCAATCAAGAGGTAAGGATTATAGTAGAACTTGCCTAGTTTCTTTTTCTGTGTACTAGAGGCCATTTATGTCTTCCATTTGCATCATTCTAATCTACCTTGAGATGTTTGTGGTTCCTGTAATTGTAGAAATGCCTAACTATGTATGACATCACTTTTCCTAAAGCTGTTGATAATATCACTATGTTTTGGTGGTTTTGCAAGATACACAGACTTCTAAATGAAGTTTTGTATGGTGAAATTGATGCTATTAGTGTCACCAAAAAACATGCATTTTTTTAAGAAAGAACCTTTTTACAATCCTTTTTTGACTTGAATTTTGACCCTACTTTTTGAAAATTTTCTTTAATCCAGTATGTACTTAATTTAGCATGTGAGATTATTTTTAATTTCAACATTTTTCCTCTCATAATGCCTCATATAAGGAACAAAGTTGCAAAGTAGTCTGCTATATGAACTTGTGCTGGAAGCAGACGTTAACTCGTCATCTACTAACCAACCAAATATTTGAAAGATACAGTGTAATAAAATATATTTTAATTGTAGGAAGATGAGGTAGAAGAAGTTATAGAATGTCCATTATGTGGAAACAACTTTTCTTCAAACATGATAGAACGCCATGCTGCTACTTGCGGGGAAGAGGAAATACAAGGTATGTAGGATGATATTTCTATTGTTAAGTTGCTCGAATCTTGATTAAATCTCATGGCTGCCCAGGCTTCTACGACAAGATTATTGCGTTGCTGATAGGATTTATAATGTCAAACCAGTTTGATATTTGTCGCCCATTATTTTATCGTTTGCAAGACAAAGCATCATCATCCAATCAGATTCATTTTTCTTCCAATTGCATGAACCGCACAAGATTATCAACATAGTGGAAACCTTAAGATTTTTGTCTCCTCGTGTGCCTTCAGCCTGTTGGTGAAACCCTTGACAAGACTCCTGTCGGCGTCAGAAATGGGCATAGGTTTTTTAGCATATGAAATAAGTGTTAAAAGTCAAAACAAAATAAGTCTCATGGTTTGACTTTAGAATCTTGATTTATTTTCTTGTCTTTTACAGAAGAAGATATCCCAGTCCCAGCAAGGTGAGATAAAGTTTTCATAATTCCAATTCTGACAAATCAGACATTTTGTGTTCACTAAAACTTACAGAGAATCTAATGCGGTTTTCTTTCTATAGGTATCGGGAATATAGACCTTTTTCATATTGGCCATATTGAATCCAGAATGAGGCTCATAACAACGAGACGTGAATAAGGTCTATTATAGGAGTGACTATGAAGTTCAAATACAATGTTATTCCACTTGATGAGATTCTGTATGTTGATTGGTTGAGGACAGAAAATATTTTTTAAAAATTCAACGCACACGACAGACGCAAAACATTTGTGCAAAATTCAAAAAGGTTTTTCTCTTGATCTGTGTTTTATTTCTGTTATAGAGAAGAAGTTGAAAGACAAACAAGATCAAGAATCCCCAGAAATTGATTAATTAACAGTTTGACCTGAAGAGATGGGAAGGTTATTCAAGCAGCCCCTCTGAAACTCCTCTGTCTAATGATGGGATTTAAGGATAATTAATAATACAATCATGTTTTTCACGATTTAACTTTACGAATCTAAGTACTTTACTCCTGGTCAGGTATTTCGACAACTTCCAAAATAAAGAAGATAAACTTTTCAAAACCCCTGGCAGGGTATTCTTGAAATGACCTTAGCGCTAGAATGTCCTGGGCAGTGGTGTAGCAAGAATTTAATTGACGGGGGTGCCATCCAATGGGTCAGGGGAGCTCTCCTTAGAAAATTTTCAAATCTAGGAAGACGGAGAATACACCTAAATACACCTGGGGTCCAATCTAGTACTGTTTGAAATGTTTTTCTTTTTATTATGGAAAGCAAAACCCAAAGTTGAACAAACAAATGAATACTTTCTGATTTAAAATTTGTTGTGAACTTGTTAAATATTTATTTGTTTTTTGTTCATCAGTTATGTGAATAAGAATTTCTTTTGTTCTCTAGCCTTATTTGACAAACCCAGTCACATGGAGTGTTCTGAAAGAGGTGTCATGCACTGGCCCTCTGCCCATGTGGGACACAGTACATGTTCTAATATCATAGTAGAGCCAAGTCTCCATAAATACTCTGATTTTCAATAACAAAGGCAAAGAAAAGGCAAAAATAGAAAGATAACTCAGATCCTTGGCTCTACTCAAATAACAGGGGGTTAGTTTGTGATATTTAATGGAAGGTCTTGAACGCCTCGGGGTCAAGCACTCTGTCCTTAGAAATGGGAAAGATTCTCTTATCCATTAGCAAGATCATGGCACAATCCAAAATAATATGAAAAGGGGATCTGGGTGGATTTAAAATATATAGGAAAATTGAAATTTTGACCTAATGATTTGATATGAGAACAATCAACCAGGCCAAAGAGATGCAAACCAGAATTTTTTTTTATCAGAAAACTTGAAAAAAACAAAAAACCTTAACACAGATTGTTTTGATCGATGAAAATAATTCAGGGAAAGACCGAAATCCATCCAACAGAGCGAAAAATTTTCTCTTCAATTTCTTAAATAATTCAAATCGAGATGAAAAATTGTAAAATTTTGATACGTCTTCTAGGCCTTTTTTAAACACAGAACGAAATCCAAGAGATGAAGTTGATGTAAATTTGAATCCAACATCACTTAGTCCTCATGGTTTTGGAAAAATATCAGACTCTCAAAGTTTATATAAAGCGTCAAATGATTGGCCAGGAAAGAAGACAGAGATTCAAGAGGCAATGCAAAAGGACTTCCATCACAGTCCAAGTGCAGCTCAATTTCTTCAGATAGAACAGAATAATGCAAACGCAAAACAAGAGGTTTCAAATTACCATCGAAGAGGATGAGTATAGTCCTATAAGGTTCTTTAAATTGTTTAACGAACTGCACAAAAAATACTCTTTCACTGGATGATATGCATACAGGTCTGGATATAGGGGCTTGTAGGATTGTCAACCCAGCATCCCTTATAGAAATTTTGACATTATATTTTCCGAAATCTTGATCGACTATCCGCGGTTACTATAAATAACTTTGGATTTTCCCACTCGTCACGTCATTTTGAGTTTGAGACAGAAACCGGTAAGGAATAAGTTCGTGTATGTTTGGATTAATTCTAAAACCGCAGCTGCATCGGTTTACTCCTTAGCCTTATATTATTTTTGATGAATCACTGGTTTATTTTGGGATCTAAAACTCGGATTAACAACAAAATTATGAACTAATGTGAATGTAGAGGTCTATTTTTAGACAATTTTATTGCGTAATCAGTAGTCACGATTTATCAGTGATTCACATTAAAAACATCACGGTCAAAACGGTCTTGATAATCGACGCTTTTGTCGGTTTCGAAAAGGAAAAGGAATCGTGGGAACGTAACAAAGTTCATGATGAAAGTTGTTGACAAGTTTTTGTGTTTCTTCACTATCCTACGTTTTCTCTCGTGTGAGTAAAATGTGTTGTAGTGACAAGTTTCCAGTGTAGATTATAGATCAATCTTAGGGCCATAAACTAGTGGATCTTTGTTGTGCCTTGGATGTGCCTTTATACCACCGAACACATTCAGACACTGCCATTGAACTCTTAAACTAAAATCAGCTGATCTGGAGACTAATAGCGTCATTTGGGGACATAGTGAATGAAGTTCTTTGTTAAATATTGATGAAATGTTATTTTGAAAGCACTGTTGCCTACCCTACATCTTACAAGATGTACTATTGAAGTTAAACTTAAAGACAAAAGGTATTAGTGAGAAGAATTGAACAGGCAGAGAGAGGATTAAAGCAGACATTGTGCACTCTCAGTATCGTTAAAGACACTGGTGGCGGCATTAGAAATCTTTGCTACTAAATTTTGTTGGTTGGTTCATAAATATCAGCATCCACTCATCAATTTTTAAGTCTAGGAAGCTCTCAAGTGATAATACAAAATGGCTAGTCATCTGTCGTATTGTGAAAAGAATGTTAAATACAAGCAAGACATAAGAAAGAACTTTTCATATTTATGTAAGGAAATTTCACTGGCGAATATTCTACCACATCTTCATGAAACATTACATCTTTCTGATTATGTAAGTTGGTTTACTATTAAAGGGAGTGTAAAGAGGTTTTCTGAATTGTTTATGTGTATTGGGGACACTCATAGGATCAATCAGACTTATGTGCTTCCTGAAATTCCAAATTATATTTAGTGGAATTGCAGGAACAACAAACGTCTGATTTAAAATTGGAACGGTGCTAATCAATGCTATCAGTGTCCCTGATAAGCATAAACAATTTAGAGAAGGTTTTTACAATCCCTTTAATATAGGGAAAAATTTCTAATTTTCTCAGTGCATTTAGTTCAAATGTATGATTATCAAATCTTATATTTCTATTGGCCTAAAGACATTTTAGACAAATGACATACAGTTGAAAATATCATTTTGAATATTTGTGAAAGGACAAACAAAATCAGAAAAAATGTTTCAGATGTTGGAGAGTCAGGGTGATTCTTACTTTCTTTTATTTATAGGAACGGTTACACAGAAGGCTCCGAAATGATTCAGATTGGTATTGCAACCAAGATTTACTAACTTGTTTGCAGAAGCGAGAATATTGGTGGCGAGCTTTCCATTGCACGTTAGTTAGCATCGATCGTTGCGATATTATTAAACAATTAGGATGGGATGATAATACATTTGGTAAGAACTGTTTTATTTTATAATAAGCACAAGGTGTTGGGATGGGACAAAACAGTTTGATTAAAAACTACTCCAAATATGGTCATAAATTTAACAAGGAGCCTGTCAACAACTACAGGAAATCTCTGATAGCTAATTATGTTTACAATATAAAACCCATGTAGGCCTAATAACCATCTGAACTGCAAAACGAAACTTGAAATCCAAAACAACAGTTGATAGTACATTTTAGCAGCTAATAACTTTTCATATGAGGAATTATATCAGCTATGAGGAAATATTTCGTATGAAAAGTGGTATCAGGTGTCTGGAAGAGAAAGTATATTGAGTTCTAATTAATTAAGCGATAGGTTTAAAACAGTATTCTAATGTTCAAATACACAGCCTTAATACAAGGTATAACTCAGTATATATAAACAAAATTTACCAAAATTTATAAAATAGAATTACGCTCGAATTAGACAGATATAAATTTTGCAAGAAGAGTTAAGCAGATTGTGTAACAGATCATGAAGTCAAATGGTGTTAATTTCACACCTTTGTAGGTCAGATTGGAATAATCGAAAACCCCAAGATAGCCCATCATTAAGAGAAATTGTTACGGTCGGAAACATTTCCAGAAACGGACAGTCTATTCCCATTCATGGTTTACGAAATATAACTAGCTCGGAAGCTGACAGATCTGTGTCAAAGAGGCCTAGTGTTTATCTGGTATCTTTCTATATAAATTTCAATATTCTTTTCTAGATTTTGGCCCTGGACATGAAAATACAGCAGTTGGTCAGAATTCAGGTGAGTCTTATAATCCACCTGAAAATACTGAAAAACCAAGTAGGAAGGTACAAACAGTGGAGGAATTTACACAGCAAAAGTTGGACGTGTATAAAAAACAAAATAACTTGGCTAATCAAGCAAGATATGAGAACGATCAACAAGGCCAAAGAGATGCGAACCAAAATTTATTATTGGAAAACTTGGAACAGAAAAAACATAGTACTGATTTCAAGATGGTTTTGACCGATAAAAATGATTTAGGAAAAGTTCCAGAATCCCAAATCCATCCAGCAGTGCGAAGAAATCTTCCATTGAATTTAATGAATCCAGATCAAAATGAAAAATTGTCAAATTTTATTGCGTCTGCTAAGCCTTGTTCAAACACAGAAAAAACTCCAAGAGATGAAGTTGATGCAAATTTGAACTCTGCATCAAATAGTCCTCAGAGTTTCGAAAAAATATCAAACTCTCAAAGTTTTCAAAGTTTATCTCGCCCTCCAAAAAAAGATCATAGCTTAAGTGCTCCACTGATTTGCACCGATCTAGGTGCAGCTGCTTTCCTGCCAAATGATTGGCCAGAAAAGCAGACACCGATTCAAGAGCCGATACATAATGTGTCAACGTCTGCCATCCATCACAGTCTGAGTGCTCCAATTATGAATCAGACTCCATTTCATGAAAGGCAAAAGCATAACTCTGCAAATACAAACCAAGAAGTATTAAGTTTCAAAAAAGAAGATGGCAATGATTTTGAATCTTCGCAGTCAGCAGAACTATCTACCATATTAGTTCGACCAACGTCAGATCCCTGTTTGAACTTTGACCCTAGCGATGGTCGCTCTAATGCAGAAAGACAGGAAGTTGACCTAAGAGAGCAAAATTTAATGTTGTATGATAGCTTAAAAAATGGAAACAGATCCAATCCAAATCCTGAGTCAAGCAGATCTGAAAATTTTGAAGATGTTGTTAATGATGGTGTAACTTCTGCTACAGCTATTCAAGAAATTGCTCCTCAGAGCTCAGCATGTCCATCAAATATGTCTTCCTTGACAACTGATGATGTCATAAAGCCATCTATTGCATCTACAGTTGACCCACAAGGAGTCTCAAGGAGGAATATTGTAAAAGATGAAAAGACCCTTAGACACAAATCTCCAAATTTAAATAGAGAACAAGACAGCTATGTCACTAATCTCCATAGTTACGGCAGTGATGTCACTTCCTCAGTTCAATCTGCAGATGGTCAAAGTTCAGCCCTAAGTGAAGAAGTCTTAGATCGTGATCAAACTAATGTGAAAAATTTGGACAGTATCACCAGGGTAGATGCTTTTGACAATTGCAATCTTGACCCTTCCAGTATTCAATCAGACGGCAGTGACCTTGACCCTTCTAGTGTTGGATATCCAGAAGCTATGAGATTAGATGTTGCTGCAGAAGTTTCTGGATCAGTGCCATCTGGTCCTAGCGCAGCAGGTGATATTACGACAGCTCCACCTATCGTTGAGGATCTTCACCGTAGCAACTCTACTTTAGCTCAAAATTCTTCTTCAGATCAAAGTCATGAAGACAATATGCCAAAATTTGATTCACTTCTGAGTGGAAGTCATCAGTCTCTGCCAAGGACGACTAACCCGAATCTAGCATTGAGTGATCTCCCTCAAAATGCTCAAAATGGAAATGTTCCAGAACTCTGCGAACTATTAAGTGAGGGTTCCTCTGTTGACCCTGCTGATTATTCTGAGAATGGCGCCTCTCCTATGTCTGTAGCTTTTCCCCCATCTTCTGGCCAATTGGCCAGAATGGAAAAAGAAGATCTTGATCAAAGCCGAGACCAAGAGGATGCAGGTAACGCAAATTCAGCAAGTCATGAGACTGCCCTCAATGACGGTCCTCCATCTTTTTTTCAAGGAGTTTTGAATTCTATTGGTCATCTTGTTGATGGTGTTGGTGAAAAACTGTTTCCTTCGTTGGAGTGCTCTGAGTGAAATACATTTATGAAAACCTTTTTACAAACAAAAGGTTCATTCAGAGGGGATTCAAACAAGTTTTTTTAAAAAGTTTTTGATAGATGGGGACAAAAACATGGTAAAAAAAATAGGAGATTTGTAATAAAACAAAGTGCAAATTAACTTTAAGTAAAGAAAATTTAATGACTGATCTTCAAATAGTATTTTCCAGAAAACTTTCAAGTGCCAAGCACATTCTGTGAAAATGTGATAATTTTATATTTAAAATGTGTGTGAGTTTTTGTTATTAATGACATACTGCTGTGATTTGGATGTGATATTTTCATGTATAGTTCAGTCAAAATATTTGTGATCACATCCTGGACCATTCAAAAACAAGAACAGTCCAAATTTATATTGTGTTCATCGTCATGGAAACTTCTTATATTTGTGCACACCCTTAAATTATAAAAACCAGCAATTAACTTTGTTTTTAAACAGAATAAATAGTAATTGAAACTACACAAACTAGATTTACATCATTGGATTGATTGGCATGAAAACTAGTTATTTGAAATATTATGAAGTGGTCCTGTTTTTGTTTTGAATCGTACCTCAACGTGTGAGGACTACTATATTTGCCTGACTATTTATTGTATATTTTGTTGTTTAGTTAAAGTTTTAGTTTCCAAACTTTTTATGTGTATCGGGGACAATGACAGCATCAATTTCGCCATTCCAATTTTCATTCCCACGTCTGTGGTGCTAGAAATTCTACTAAAACAAAGTGTTTCATGTTGTCACCCCTCAGGTGTGATACAAGCAAATTTTGCAGGGTGACGTAAAAAGCACTTAGTTTTAGTGATATTGCATTAACCAAAGACGTCTGATAGAAAATTGGAATGGTGCAGATTGAAGCTATCAGTGTCCCTTTACAATCCCTTTAATGTATGACTATCAAATCTTATATTTCTATTGGCCTGAAGACATTTTTAGACAAATGACATACAGTTGAAAATATTATTTTGAATATTTATGAAAGGACAAAAAAAAATCTGTTTTCAGATGTTGGAGAGTACCATCTCTTTAAGTATAGAATGATATAGCTATAATAGTGCCAGTGACATTTAAGATAGTGCTTTGATATTTTTATTTTTGATTAGACATTATTATATTATATACATCACTCTGTTGTTTTAAACATGGGTTTCCTTTTTTTTAGAGTCAAATTAAGCAAACTATTTGATTAATTGGTGTTATCAATTACATTATCATGTATTCTTTCTCATATCATCATGTTCTTATCGCATATAATTAAGAGTTTTAACCAATCATAAATGTCCATGTATTTAAATCTGGATAAACAAAAAAAAGACTTTTTGACCTTCCTTGATCAGTCACTCATTGGAATTCTGCTGGTAATTCTTCTTTAATTTAGCTAATTATGAATTGATTATGGACATGTGAGACAAACTGATATTTTTCCAAGTCATTAGAACACCTCTACTTTCATAAGACTACTATTCATAAATGAAAATAAGGGAACCCATCTTTAAAAGGCTGTAAAACAGCTTATGTGTTTAGTTTCGTGTGAAATGATCAGGATGTATGTCAAATTATATTAAAGTAAACAATAAATTTTGGAAGGGGAGAGAGTAGTTGAAAGAATGAAAGAAACAACTATATTTTAGAAGGATAACAACTTAGGTTCACAGTTAAGGATCCTTTCCTCAAACTGGTTCTCTTGGTATTGATCTTTCCCAGATTATCCGCACCCATTTACAGCTGAGTCGACTCGAAAGGGCTAAATGTATGTATGTATTTGTGAAATATCTGAAAACTGGAAGAGGAATATGTATCCATGCCGATGCATTTAGGTCTGATATTTTCTGGATTCCAGGCCTGCATTAAATAGCATGTAATATTTGGCACCAGTGCATGAAGTTTGAAAATCTCAATGCTGTTGAAAGATGTCTCTTTCCAGTCCTAACTGAGGAAATCTTAAATTGAAACACTAAAAATATTGTGATATCTTGTTAAAATTTATTTATAAATAAATAATTGAACTTTGATATTTTTAATTTAATCGTAAAAATATTAAATTATTAAATTAAAAAAGTGACTCGTAAAAATTGGAGACAAAATTCACTGAGCAATGCACTGAAAGGTTTTTATGTGTATCTGGACCATCAATGGCTTCTATCTGCATGATACCATTTTTCATTAGATGTCTGTGGTTTCTATTATTATTGAAATTATTAACTGCATATGAGTTCACGATTGCAAAAGCGGCTTATAATATATTTGGGTCTTTGCAGTAGCTATGTTGCAAAAAAGACTCAGTTTTAGTTGGACCTTAAAAAACAAAGACATCTCAGTGAAAATTTGAATGGTGAAGATCAATCATATCAGTGTCTCTGATACACAAGTTACAAAAGCCTCTATACAACCCTTTTAAAGAAATATAAAAGTCAACTTCAGCTATCTACTGAGAACACATTTTATTAAAGGCTACCATGATTTTGACAAGAAAACGAATATTAATATATGAACACCAAAGACAATTTGTGAACGTGTGAAATGTGGTGGTAAATGGCAAATTAGCCTTGAGCTCAGCTTGAATGTGAAAATATTACCAAAATAGGCTAATTCAATGACATGGTGCAGAATTTCTGCTGTTCACCAATCTGATTTGAATGCAGGTCGGGATGTTAGGTTTCCTGTTTCTTCAACATCCATAAGTCTTTTTGAATATCAAATTTTGGTGACTGGCACCCGCAATACACAAAGTTATGCATTTTAGCAACACACACAAAGTAACATATTTTAGCTAGTATGTGTTTGTTTTGAAACAGTTGTATCTAGATCAAGTCTATTATACGTGTCTTTTAAAAATCCATAAAGAGGAAAACATATCACAGTGGCTGCTAGCAATGCCCAATTCATCCATATTGTACCTGAAAAAATATTCAAAAATATAGATTTAAGGAATATATTTCATAAATTCAATAACCAACATAGACCAAAAGACATTTAGAAAATTTTAAAGTTACAGTTCAAATTCGTTATGATGCTTGACACTGTAGACTCTAGTGCAGACTGACACTATCCTGGCAAAGTTTATCTAATTTTTTGTCTCAGATTTATGTTGGAACCATGTAATAAAAACGATTTAGCAGAAATGGATCGCTTCCAATTTTCAAAAAGATTCATCAATGACAATCCTTTTTTTGATTACTATTTTCCCAGAATTTATCACAGTCACTTTTTGTCCCCTACCCCACCCAAATTACTCAAATTTACTGAATTCATCAGCCTTCATCAGCCCCTCCCCTATCATTATTTACTGCCCCATCCTTCCCAAAACCCCCACCCTCCATTGTAATTTAAAATCAACTTAAATTTTCTTACCTATATTTGGTATCATTAAAATAAAGAGGAAAATCAGGCCTGCTAGATTATTCATGATTGTCATCATTCCATTGACTGTCCCCTCTCCGATAGGGTATGCTAATTCACAGCCTAGTTCATACAGTAAGGGCGTGGCAGCATTAAGGGACATCACTCCCATTATTGTTGTAGTGTATAGCACAGCTGAAAAAAGTTCAATTTATCAATGAATGAATGAGAGACCCATCCCCATATTACAGAAGAGTGCTTATTTGAATTGGATTGAATATAGATTATTCCTTTGCGTTCCTTGGTTGATGAATGGCGGAGATTACTATTGAAATTTGTAGTAGCGGTTAATGAATGCAAATTTTTCACATGGGTTCACTGTAGCATGTGACAATAAAATATAAAAATTCAATAATATTGTCTTAAGTTTGTGATTTCTCTTTTTGTTTTCTTGTATTCTTCATCTCCATTGTAATCTAACAAGGTTTCTATTGCTGAAGAGAACTCAATTTCATCTTTCTCCTTAATTCTAATGCATTCTGTTAGGCTTCCCAGTATAGCACAGTCGTGCAAAATTAAAGCCTCTTTGGATATATGCCACAATTTGTTATGTAATCAAGAAACAGGTTCAACATTGAGAAATACCCTATACACAACAAAATTGATTGAAAAAGCTTTTTTTGAAGCCCAGACTGTAAACTTTTGAAACCTTTACCTGCACTGTATGGTCCTATTTTAATACAAGCTAGAGCAAACCAAATTATAAACACTGATCCTACAGCATATAGACTTATTATAAATATCTTCAAATGTTTAGCAAATATATCAGCAAATCTGAAATAAGAAAGATATTTTGAATGAATGGAGATTTCATAAAAGTTAGTGTAAAAGGCATGACTGGTCCACACTGATAAAGGATTTTAGCATAAATATTTCTTTTAGGAAAGTATGGTACATTTGCATGGTAATTTGTATTCTGAGAGTTCACATACCTATAGGTAGTATTGTTTATTCTTTCAGAGAGTCCACATAGCTAATATTGTTTATCCTTTCAGAGAGTTCTAGGGTTGTCAAGTCGCGACCCCTTTCACTTTCAGAGAGTCCACATGGCCAATTATTTAAAATTTAACAAAAAAATAAGCACTCACCTTCCTATAACAAGGGAGGCAACACAAGCTGCTGCTGTGGCATAAAATCCAATCCAGCCTGACTCGCTCTAAAATATAGAAATCACGGCTTATATTAGAGATAAGAATTGCCTGGATAACTGACAGAATATTTCTGGATACAGAGTTGCACACTGTATCTCATAGGACTTGTTAATTGTCCCATATGGGAGCATGTTTCGTTTGTTGATTGTCCCATATGGGAGCATGTTTCATTTGTTGATTATCCCATTTTTCGAACACTTGAACGAACACTTAATTTGGCTGCTTCATTTTTTGTAAATTCGATAACGTACCTGTGAGATACCTAATGGTTTGAGCACAACTTGAATTACCCCAGTCCATACGTTACAAACTCCTAGAGATGACCCATACGCTATAGCTACCAGCCAAAACTGTTTACATCTAGAATATCATATAAAATTGAATTAGTCGATCATTGGATGAATGAGAGAATGATGGATGAATACAAATATTTACGCAATGAATGAATGAATGAATGAATGAATGAATAAATAATCACTTTTAGTCTTAATAAATTGTAACACAATAGTTTTTGCAAAGCTTTAATTCACGTCTTATCTTTTATAACGCATAACATTTATTTACAAGATTACAGTAAAATATGAATATACCTGAAAAGAGCTTTGAGCCCCGTCCAGAAATCTTGTCGTGAGATGGAGGCTGATAGACAGGGGGGTAGTGGAGGTTTTTTAGGAAAATAAATCAACATAATCAAAAATATTAAACCAGCCACAGCAAATTCTAAAAAAGAAAAAAAAAATATTTGTGAAATAACTCAAAATATGTCCTGATATTTTAAGCAGGAAAAAAATAATATCAGCTTTTCTTAGCGACCAATCAAAAATGAATCAAAAGTTTAAATATTGAAGGACACTTTTGCAATAAAGTTTATAAAATTTATGCGAAAACCAGTGCTGATCATGATGGGTATCAAAATAGTATAGTATCAGTTCTCTTATAACAAGAATTTATTTCCAGCTACAATCAGCAATCAAATTCTAACCCATAAGCGCCATATTCCAGAAGATTTGTACTTACCTACATACATTAACAATAAAATATCTTTTCTCTCTACCTCTATAATACTGGCTGAAATTGAGTAAAAAATCAGTAGATACGCGAGAAAAATGCAGTAAGACTTCAATTTGTGATTATGCTTTTAATTTGGCTTTGTCAATTAAGGGGGCTGGTTTTGACGCTGAATCTTAAGTAAAATATCGCATGTGCCCGCGCTTCCACAAGATTATTGCGTTGCCGACAAGATTTATAATATCGAAAGAGTTTGATATCTGTCACTGATACGCACATGATTATCAACATACACAAGACTTTAGTCGGCGTCAAAAATTGCCAACCAAGACCATTTGTGTGTCTTCGTTTAAGTCTGAACTGAAAATATATCTAAAAGGATATTTTATACATGTTTTACTTCACTGATAAATCTCAGTGTCTTCATGAATCATAGCATTGTCAGTTAATTGATAAAATATAGATGGAACTTACAGTTATTAGAATTATTATTCGTTGATAAAAACTCAGACTGGTAAAACTTTGAGTCTGTTGAAAAATTTGTTTGACTGAAAAAAAAAAACAGGTAAATACAATCAAAACATATTGGTCTTGAGAATTTACATGATTGACAAATAGACACAAACTTCTAAATAGAGAAACTAGTTTCGGAAATAGAGGTCAACTTTTTTAAGAGGAGATAAATAAGAAAATTTTGATTTTCTTTATTATTATTTTTAGACTGACAATTTCCATATATCTTGTGGCCCCTGAGGCCGAGTTTGCTAAAGGCTGTGAAAATTAAAGATCCCTTGAAAGTTGTAAATCGATAATGAGTAATCTAATGCTGCAACAATCCCCTCATTGCACACTGCATAGTTTTGCCTGTCTTAATGCACAAAATCAGGCACAGAAAACTCAACTGATTTCATTTCAACTCCCATGGAACTCTTGAAACATAAAATAAAACTTACTTTATAAGAGTATTATTATTTTTGGAATGAGACGGAACTAAATAAGGCCCTGAAAATACAATAAATACTTTGTATTACAGTACAATTTGTATTTGAGTACAATTTGTATTAGAGTACAATTTGTATTAGAGTATAATTTGTATTACAGTACAATTTGTAATAGAGTATAATTTGTATTACAGTACAATTTGTATTACAGTATAATTTGTTTTACAGTATAATTTGTATTAGAGTACAATTTGTATTACAGTATAATTTGTATTACAGTATAATTTGTATTAGAGTACAATTTGTATTAGAGTACAATTTGTATTACAGTATAATTTGAATTAGAGTACAATTTGTATTAGAGTACAATTTGTATTACAGTACAATTTGTATTACAGTACAATTTGTATTACAGTACAATTTGTATTACAGTATGATTTGTATTACAGTACAATTTGTATTACAGTACAATTTGTATTACAGTACAATTTGTATTACAGTACAATTTGTATTTGAGTACAATTTGTATTACAGTATAATTTGTATTACAGTATAATTTGTATTACAGTACAATTTGTATTACAGTATAATTTGTATTACAGTATAATTTGTATTAGAGTACAATTTGTATTACAGTACAATTTGTATTACAGTATAATTTGTATTACAGTACAATTTGTATTACAGTATAATTTGTATTACAGTATAATTTGTATTAGAGTACAATTTGTATTACAGTATAATTGGTATTACAGTACAATTTGTATTACAGTATAATTTGTATTACAGTATTATTTGTATTACAGTACAATTTGTATTACAGTATAATATTTATTACATTATAATTTTTATTACATTATAATTTTATTAGTGTCTTATGAAGTCACTATCACAAGGTTCTTAGATATTATGAGTTGCTTTTGAGAAAATAACGTCATAAATTACTTAGAGCAAGTGGAATTGCCAGAAACCAGCAGACATCTGACTAAAGATTGGAATGGTAAAAAATTGATGCTATCAGTGTCCCAGATGCTATCAGTGTCACAGATGCTGTCACAGATGCTATCAGTGTCACAGATGCTGTCACAGATGCTATCAGTGTCACAGATGCTGTCACAGATGCTATCAGTGTCACAGATGCTATCAGTGTCACAGATGCTATCAGTGTCACAGATGCTATCAGTGCCCCAGATGCTATCAGTGTCCCAGAAGCTAGCAGTGTCCCAGAAGCTATCAGTGTCCCAGATGCTATCAGTGTCCTAGATGCACATTCAAGGTAAGACAACCTCTTTTTAATCCTTTTAACTTATAAAACTATCATGTGAATAAGGATATAAAAAATTTGAAAATCTCACCAATAAGAAAAGATCCAGCCAAGCCAAGTATATAAGGTATTATAACACCAATTGACGTAGATGTTGTTCTCTGTTCTGGCGGAAACCAGGTTGCCGAGATGACAGGAGAACCAGCCATAGCAACCGGTCCTCCTAGACCGTTTAAAAACTGGCCTATATGAATCAACCTACAAATATAATAAAAACCTTAAATGAGACTGAAACAGTAATATCTGCATTGCAAGTGGAATCAAGACATCATTTTAATTTCCTGTCTGATGTCTGGTATTTGTAATTCCACAAAAACTAAAACTTCTTAATCACTTTCGCAAAAATAATTCAAAAACTGAAAACCAATTTTGAATCTGGCCATGTATTCTTGAAACGATCTTAGTGCTAGGATATCCTAGAAACAGTGTAATAACTAAAGACCCTAGGACATCCTGGCAGTAAGATCGTTTCAAGAATACACGGCCAGATGATTAATCCCTTCAACAATAGCGGCTGCTCAAAATATGTGATATGATACCTCAGTGACCAGTGACGCAGCCTTGACCAAGTGACGTCACATAATGTTAACGTCATAAACTTTAAGTTATATTACTAGAGTTCTATGTTATTTACACTCAGTGTTCTAAGGGTGAAGAATAATACTGACCATGTAGAGAGTGGTGGAGTAGAGGTAATACATCGTAACCCAGCACCAGCCATCCCCAGAAAACAGCTGACTACACACGCTACACGCAAACCTGAAAAAACATCGCACAAATCCTTAGTTAACATATCTAATTATCTTAACCTTTAACTTGCACCTTGTTTTATCATAAATCTTTACTTTGTGACCTAGGCCAGTGCTTTTATGAGAATATGTTCTCATCATCTTCTAACACTAATTTATATAATGTAGGGTTAATAGTAAGGGGGGATAACTAAACAATTCTGTCCAATACCGTCAAAAAACAACGAAAAATCAGGTTCACAGAGTAAATTATCACCTTTAACGTCTATCATCCAAGAAAAGAAAACTCCGCTGATTAAATATGAGATCGGCCCCCAGTTTGTTAAGAGACCAATATCAGCGTTGGACCAACCAAACGCTTCCTTGGCTGAATCAGCTATCGGTCCCCAAGTATTCCAGATTAAATTCTGACTTGCAGCAAAGAAACTAAACATCACTAAAACATACCATCTTCTCTTGTACACCTGAAAAATATTACACAAATCTGTATTTCGTTAATCTGGTTTAAACCATTTTTAAATTCACACATGTTGAAATCCTGCTAAACCGGCACAGATCAATGAAGAGAGGAGCAATTTCAAAGCCTCTAGGGTTTGATATCCACACAATTCATCATCGTTAGCAAGAAACAGATCTTAGATGACACGCTTTGATTGGTTAAAGATAATATCAATAGATTGGAAGCTAAATAGAATGCTTGTTAGATTTCAATGGAGATGAAAATCAGGGAAAAAAATTGAAATCTGATAAGGTTGATTAGGCCCTTGGTAACTGAACTTAGATTTTCAGAAGTATTTGTGGAAGTCCAGGCCATGTATTCTCGAAACGATCTTAGCGCTGGGACATCCTAGAATCAATGTTAGAAAATAAGAACCTAGGACATCCTAGAATCAATGTTAGAAGATAAGAACCTAAGATATCCTAGAATCAATGTTAGAAGATAAGAACCTAGGATATCCTAGAATCAATGTTAGAAGATAAGAACCTAGGATATCCTAGAAACAATGTTAGAAGATAAGAACCTAGGACATCCTAGCGCTAAGATCGTATCGAGAATACACAGCCTGGTACTGACCAGATACTAACCCTAATTTTTTTCTGTTGAATTATAACGATTTCCGAATCGGTGAATCCTCTGTCATTGACACTTTCGCTGCTTAAAACGTTCCGTATACCTTCCTGATCTTCGTAGGAATTAATCGTAGAGTACCCAGAAATCCCTGTATAATTCGTAATACTTGGGTTGGTAACATCAGGGCTAGTAAGCAGCGGAGAAGCTTCCCCATTCCGTCCATTAAATTTAGACATTTTGATTGTTCAGTGTTCGTACAGTAAGTCGGTTGTTGACCACTAGAGGTCAGTCTATGTCAGTTTTGGGCCGACAGCATTCATTTCCTCAACGTTAACGTTTGATCTTCTTTAACAAATTCAACCAAACATAAACATTTTCACATAGTTATGGCCACACTCTGAAAACAGCAATGTTAGATGATGAAAAATTAAAATAGATAACTTGATGATGAAAAAAATGCTAGAGAAGATTTGCATGTTTTGAAAATCACATCAAGATTTTGTCAATGTTTCAAAAAGCAAAACTTGTCTATAAGCTTATTAATCAATTTGAAAAAATACCTCAAAAACAAAACAAACCATACAGTAAGTTTTCTATTAAGTTTTAGTTATTTATTATCCAAAAAAAGGTCATGGCCAGTAGAGATGACCTTTGAATCAAAGTTCTAATCTAATCACCCGTTCGTTAATTGTCAGGCATGAATTTTTTATCTACTTAAAACTTACATAAGATTAAGTATCTCATTGACCTATTTCCTTTACCTAATCATTACTTTCATAATTAGATATGGAGATTTTTTTATCTAGGCTGCAATTTTCAAACATATAGTTTTCTTAGTGAAATCAAATAAATGTTGTTTTACAGCTTACTTTCTGCACCAGATTGGGCTTCCTGAAGACTGACAAAGTCATGCTGTCTGCAATAAGGTAAATTTTACAAGGACAGCAGCATTATTAGCCTTCTCTTCTTTTTTTTGATCTTTAACAAGAACATGTTTATATCGTACGTATGATTGTTAGTAAAATCTATCAATTATTTTCTCTGGGGTATCATCTTTAAGGTTAGTAAAGTGTTTAGTTCAAAAGTTCAAGCCATATCCTACTAGTAAAAAGGAAACACTGTATCTATTATTTTCACTGGTTGGCTAAGCCATTACTAAATGCCAGGAGGTTTTCTATGACCCTACCAATGAAACATTTCTTCAAAGATAAAAAAAAAAATTCTAGCAGAATAATAGTAGCCAATAGTTTGCAATTTGAAAATTCCACTTTATTTTCTATAACTTGTGGTGTTGTGGGGTGCCTAGTGCCCGAGGCTGTGGCTCAGATCCAGCTTGTCATTGATTGAGTCATTGTCAAATTTCTGATGTATGTGCTTGTTTGAGTTATGTGCTTGTTTGAGTATAGGCTAGGCCAATGTGTGTCTAGCTTTTACCTTCCAACTCCAACTAAATCCCCTATGATATGTTTCTTATTCCTGGTCTTGATAACAAATCTCTAACATAAACAGTGGGTTGTATAAATTATAACAAAATAAAATTCTATCCTGATAAAATGGACATTGTTTACAAAATACAGTCACATGACAGTAGATCACGTGATTCAAGGTCATGTGATACATAGCCCGAAATACTACACTTTCCTTCTTTCAGCACGTTTAATCCGAGACTGTCTTACTGATAAGTTATTTATTCCACTTACAAACTCCGTTTTGAACCTAATAATTATTTCTGTTAATTTGATGTCCATATATTATCTTCACAAAGTTAATTTAACAATGGTGATCCATATACAAATACTTTGATTGAGCTTCTTTACTTTACAGCATTCAGTGTGCAATAAGGGAAAGTTTGATAATGAAATTAAGTACTAGAAACACAAGGATAATTTTGTGTTGCATAATATCAAAGCTTCTGACCAGGCAAGCAAGCACCATTGCTCGATATAACAAAGATCTCAGAAAAGTTTCAAGAACTTTGTGACTCTACCATGTTTTACTGATGAGGGTAAACCATGGGACTGAGGTAATCAATATTTGTGATGTCACCTGGATTCTAGCTTACATGATACAAGACACAATGCCTGTGGAGTGGGGAAATTTAGCAAGGGCAAAAAAAAAAGGGACAGTTGGCCAAGTCTTGTTTCTCCAATTAATGTTCAGGGATTATCAACATGGCCACCATTTGTAGAAAAAAATAAAGAAATATTCAAATATGGTAAATCTGGTTTATTTTGATTTTGGTCATTTTTTTTTACAATGAACTAATTTTTTAGGAAGTTTATTTTCACAATTTATAAAACAAAATATTAGATTACAAAAAACAAAATACACTTTTTAATTCATTATTTTGTCTTCCATAGAATTTAAACAACAATTACAATTGAATACTGACTATAGAGAACATTACGATGGACCATTCATGACACCATCTCGGTTTGTCACAAGAAGAAAAGTAAAGTTGTGACAAACCAGTAAGCTGTGAATTTTATTTACGAATGTTCCATTAATTCAATTCAGAATAATTCAAACTTGTATTAGCTTGTCTTCCTAAGTGACCTCTATACTCTGGTTTTAAATATTTTGTTGAACATGTCGGTCGCTTGATTGGTGAGTTTTGAACGTTCAAAATTGATGGAATCATCGTTCAATAAAACAAATTTGAGCAGAGCTCAGAACGCATTCCACTTGTTCAGAAAAATTGTATGTGTAGACAGAATTCAGAAGATGGAAATTGAAAGAAAAATTTGAAATGTGGCAAATTGTACCTTTCGATCGACACCATTTTGACGGTTGGAACAGACGGAAGCTGTTCAGAATTAACCAAGCGAGAGCCACCAATGTGTTACAACAGATTTGGAGAATGCTAGGCTTGTGAAAGCAGTATTAAAAGCTGTGAATAAAGAATTCTGCAGGTCTACATGATATTTTAATTAAAATCACCACTCACAAAACATTTACATACAATATTGAAATATATCACTAAACTGTACAAGATATACAAAACATAAAGATATGGGATTATTTTGGTTTCATTTTTACTTGAGCTGAAGAAATAAAGGGAATTGGAGCTTTCATTTAAAAACTACGTGTTTCATAGGCTCTTAAAACCCCCAAACCTTAATTCTAAGCAGAATTTTTGACTCATATTTGAATTAAAACTATTGCATTTGTGTATCTGTTTCATTCCTTTATTCATGAAAATGCCAACTTTTATCATTTCAAATTCTTTTTAGCCTCTGGGGCAATAAGGACATTAATTTCATCTAAAAATCAAATTAATTTTTTTGATGGAAATCGAGTTAAGATTTGAGATGGTTCATATATTTCTCATCAAAAAATTAGTCAAAATTTCCAATTGCTTATGTTATAATGCTGAAGTGAAAAATAGCCATACTAGAACAATTCACGCAAGCACAGACCAAGGATATTTAAATGACACTCAGACACAAAGGTGTTTTTTCTGAAGCAAAGGCTAGATTTTTCTGATAAATGCAAGCAAAGAATGAATCAAATTTAATGAAAATGAAAAAGTATAAGATCACAAATCTGACATATTCTCTCCTTTATTCATGTTCCAAAACGCTAACAGTCAAGTCTGAAAATAGTACAACAGGCAACTTAAGACCCTTAATTTTACAAATGAACTCTTCTGAGCATACCTTACAATGGCAGTATGCATGAGTGGAATAGTTCATTATTAGTTTGAGGGGTGTAAAATGAAGGACTGACTATATTTCCAGACTTGACGACAACCAAAACATCTTTGTTCCCTTTCTCAATTCAACGTTAAATAATTTATTCCTAAAGTCCACTAATGAGATGCACATTGAACTCTTTGACCTCCTTGACCTTCGTCATCGGAATCATAGGCCTCTCTTCGCGAGCGACTACCTGATGCTTCTGGGTCGAAGTCCGTTAACATAACTTCCTCTGCAGCGTCCGGAATTATGACTTCGTCTCGCGCCGGCAGAAGTTTTTCTAATTGTTTCAGTTTCTCTTGTGCCAGGAAATTATTGGGAGGAAATTTCACGTTAAATGTTACAATTAATCGTCCTTTCTCCAGTGGGTTTCTATAAATAGGCATTCCTTCATTCAACACGCACTTAATATCTCCGCTCTTCGTTACTTCTCCTAAAAAAATGGACAAAAGAGTTAAAATAAAAAAATATAAGAAGTTCTTCACATGAAATGGTGTTTTATATCGTTTATTTCTGCACCTAAATGAGAACGGGAAAGGCCGTAAGTGTTCAATGAGAATAATTTGCCAGGACACTGGTATTAGAATAATCCTGTGCAGTTTTCCAGCTTTTTGGGATCTTTTAAGACTCAGTCTGTAGCACTTATGGTCAAAATAGTAAATGATGGACAACTTTGTACAACATTTAAGACATCACTCTTAGAACATTCAGGAACTACATGCGCTAAACTCGTATCTATAATGTAATAATATATATTGTTATATCTGATTCTGAATGAAATATGAAACCAACCTGGTAATGCCGAAATGATTAATATTCTTTCATCTAATGTATCAATAGTTCTATGAAAACCACATAATGCTTCAACTAAATCTATGTCCATCTTCAGTTTTAAATCGTGGCCGTGGCGTTGAAAAACTTGGTGTGGTTTCTCGTCCAGCACTATAATTATATCACCTGGTTCCAGCCCTGGTTCTTGATCTCCTTCTCCAGAGAACCGAATCTGCTGTTCATCTCTCATACCTGCAAATCAAATTAAAACTAAATTAAATAGAGTAGTACACCCTTCTTATCCAGATAGACCACGTTTTAATTTAGCAAATGAAAATGACTTGGGAGTTTTATATTCTTCTTATCCACTCCAGATAGACCTCAAATCAAATTAGCCCAGGTTTTTTCAAGCAAATAAGCATTTAAATACAGAGTTTTATATCCTATGTATCTGCTACAGAAATACCTTAGGTTCAAATAATCCAGAATATTTTGACCAAATGACAATGATACCTCAAACATAAAATGATCATGTTGAAATTTTCTTTAATGTAAAATGCCTAGACTTCAACTAAGTTAAATCCTGCGTACTACATCTCCACTTTACACCACAAGACCCTGTCCGTACTACGACATAAATCATACATCACCATAATGATCTGATTTTGGAAAAAATAAAATTTACTCCACCACGTAACATAACGTACCTTTATCAACGTGAACTTCTAAAATTTTCCGTTCTTTTATGACTTTTTTACCCACACATTTTTTACATCGATCTTTGGCGTTGATTTTTTCTCCCTCGCCGTGACAATCGCTACAGACGCTCTGGACCTGTTGAACCATACCAGGGCCAATCTGGTGAATACGGACCTGCATTCCAGTACCACGACAGGTATTACATTTACCCACAGCGCCCTCTTTACCTCCACGACCTGAAATATTCAATATGTACATAGCAATTTCAGTGCCTTATTAGCCTCGGAGGTCAAGGGTTCTTTGCTTGAAAGTAAGTATCTTAATACGTACTTAAATACAGTTTGTCAGTGAAGCAGATCAAGTTTAATATTAGTGAACAGTGTTAACCCTGTGCCAGTGATGAATAGTAACTTTCAACCACCATAACAACATCCCTGTACTGATGGATGCAAAGTTAAAAATCCATGTCACAGATATACTAATTTCAACATGTGCCAGTGCTTTAGGTTTAATAATAACTAACTACTTTCAATCATCCTAACCATCAATAACCCAGTTGACAAACCCAATAGCAGAGTGTCATAAAGTTTTCTTGGTAACTTACCATCGCACTGGTCACAAATCACATTTTTGTGTAAAGCTAATTTCCGTGTTGCTCCGTTATACAGATCTCCCAGAGATACTTTCATTTGATGGATGACATCCTTTCCTTTAGAGGGGCCACGACCTCGTCCACCTCCCCCACCAAAAAACATATCAAATATGTCCATAGGCGAGTGGAATCCCCCACCCCCTGAATCACCCCCCTTAATAGCGTCTTCACCCCCTCGGTCGTAAATCTCTCGTTTCTTTGGGTCACTTAAAACTTCATATGCCATACTGATTTGTTTAAACTGAAAGAAACATAAATATAGATGTGACTGTGGTTCACTTCATACAAATAGCTTTGTTTGAAGCGGTGAATTTCATAACAACAAGTCCATAACAAGAATTTGCATTGGTACCAAAGCAATAAATCAACTGTTCATATGAGGAAAAAATGAAAAAAAAGTTATACGTCCTACTTTTCTGCACCATTGTTCATATGAGGAAGTGTATCGATAAGTGAGTAAGTATTTCATAATGAAAAGTGTTATCAGGCGTTTAGAAGAGTAAGCAACCCTGCCTGTCGTTTTGAACCAGTATTACCTTATCTCCCTCATCAGGGTTTTTGTCTGGGTGAAATTTTAATGCTAGTTTACGATATGCTTTTTTAATCTCACTATCTGTAGCCTTGGGTGCAACTCCCAATATATCATAAAACTTCGTTTCTTTCACCATTTTGATTTGATTTGCTGATTTCTATTTGATTGATAATATTCTTGTTCTGAAAGAGAAAAGCGCCTATTAAAATGTCTCAATGATAAGCATCTTTAACTTTTATTTATTCTTCTCTTACATATCTACGGAGCCCCTTAAGCGCAATTTTCAACACTTTTTATTATTAATTCGTTTAAACGAATTATTATTTCGTTTAAACGTAAAATTAATTTTTTCGTCTATTTTGTTTAAACGAATTAGTTATTTCGTTTTAACGAATTAATTATTTCGTGTAAACGGAATAAATGATGTTATTTCGTTTAAACGAATTAATTATTTCGTTTTAACGAATTAATTATTTCGTGTAAACGAAATAAATGATGTTATTTCGTTTAAACAAAATAATTATTTCGTTTAAACGAAAAAATAAATAAATATGTTTACAATTGCGCCTTAGGGGCTCCGTACATATCAGCTAGGCTAAATAATTGTGGAACATAAAACTAAAAATGTAAAAGTAGGATATACAATGCAGGCCAGATAGCAGGTGGAGTCTGTGACCATACGCCCATAGTGACCATTATGCATTAAACAGAAAGCATACCCTCACCCCCATCTTCCCTTCTTCTGCACCATTCTCAAGTCAAGAGCACAGACAAGATAGCATGAAATGAATGCTGTTTTACATCCTACTTTTCTGTATGTGAGCTAATAAAAATGGACAACGCCATGCAGAGTACAATGAGGGAAACTGTGATTTCTAACTGTCGAGGGATCTTTGAAGTCCTCAGCCTGTAACCACAAGGGCCTAGGTTTATTATCCCCATTCTTAAGTCAAGAGTACAGACATAGTACAGAGGAGACACAGCACGTGAAAATTATTCAAGTCAGCATGTTCTTGGTTTTCCATTTAGTACTCATCATATAAGTTGTATTTTCAGTCAAACATGAAATCAAGATCCATGTATACTCACCTTAACGGAATCGCAATTTAAACTGCCTTGAAAATTCGACTTTATTTACGTTCCTCCTTCACAGAGAAGTCGAGAAATTTCTCGATGATCCTGCTCAATTATTTCAAGAGCCGGAAATGATGTGATGATGCACTGGATTGTGGGAAGGTCTGTGTAAAGATGGCGCCAGAGTTGACTTCTCACAAAAAAATTTAACATCCGAAATTTACAAATTTTCTCTAGAATTTGAGGTTTGTGAATCTTGCGATTTAAATACTCTGTGGCTAGTGATCTTCTCCAAAGCGTCTTTTTATTGCCAAGCGGATATCTTCTATTTAAACGCCGTAATTATCCTTTGTTTACATAAAAATAGATCAACTGAGTGATATGAAAAAGGGGATTTATTTTTATTTGCAAATCGCATGTCAGAACATGTCATGAAATGAAGTAAATGGGATTCAAGCAGATTAAGTAATTAACATGATTAGATTTGAAATGGAGTGCTAATTAAAAAAACAACTTCTGCTCCTGTGGCAGCCTGCTTTAGGTTCTAATTAGTAGAGCCCTCATTCATTCATTATATTTTGCCTTGTCACTTTGTCTGGGCTAGGCTACTAACTAGCAGTGCTGATCTGCAGACCGCACCTGTCCTGTACTACCTTTGTTTGGTATAAAGTATATAAAATACTACTGATTGAATTGAACGACAGCTAAAAAACTTTCAAAAAAATTGAATTCAATTTGGCCCACTGCTTGCGATCAAAACCAGAAATCTTTTCCAGTGCCTTTGATATAAGGTGCAAGATAATTTCTTGATTTTTGGGGTTTTTCTTGTTAAGCAACTGGGAGCAATGCTATGAATAACAATTACTGGTACAGGACCGTACCAAATATTGATGGCTTTTAAATAATGTTGCATTTGTGTTTATCTGGCATTTATTGTCCCAAGGTATAACTTATTTCTGATATTAATTGTTACCAATTTTCATTTATATCTTTTCTCACAACTTAATGGCACTAAGTGTTGTTCTTTTCTGTATTTCTGTTATAGATTTAAAGAAGAATATATTTGAGTGAGAGTCACCTAGTCAGCCAAGATGATACAATCAGTGCAGGTTCGACAGAGGGGGGCGTATGATTTTGAGAGTCATTATAATGATCTGTGTGCTCTACAGGACTCTGTACCTCTGTCAACAGTGAAATCTTTTCTATCACAAGGTGTTTTAGACATCAGTGGAGATAAAATCAGGTAGGTTTTGTTCTGAACCATCTACTAATTTTTGAATGCAAATATCTTGGCCATTATTTTTGGATAAATCTGTCACTTTTTACTTGATGTTTTTATTGTTTTTGTTAAAAATTTGTGTATCCTAAAATTTGCGATACTGATATCGATCTAATGAAATTTTTATTTATAACAGAGCCAACGATTGGAAGCCAATATTAGACACGTTACAAATCAATAAAAGTTTACAATTCGTGGCTATTAGAAGTAATTTTGTGGCTCCTGTGGAAGATCAGGGTAAGGATATACTAAGTTATTTCCCTTAATGAGAATCAAATTTTCACAGAAGCAGTTAGTTGGCATGATTGTGGAGGTTATGACCTAATCATGGTTCATACTTATAAAAAACATTGATATAGAATTTTTCTGTGTAATTCTCCCAAATTGGTTTCTTTTTATCTCAGCCAAAAACAGTTCCTAACACAGTGAAGATATCACACCTGTATATCACGTGCAATGAACTGATAGGGCCAGATTTATTAGGATATCCTTATTGATAAAACTGTGATTTTGTGTCTTTGCAGCGGTGAAAATACAAAATTATCATATATGCAAGATATCCAATTTATTGATGTTCAGAATTTATTATAGATTCATCTGATTTTATGTCACGTTGTCCAAAGATGTCAATATTGCTACAAGCCCACCCATATATAAAAATATTTGATTTCATAATGCACTTTTCTAATTTTATGGGTTTTTTTTTATATCAGATGTGAAATCGTCAGTAAAGAAACAGAAGACACCAGCCATCAGATCAAGGGAGATAACTTATAGATTGTGTAAAGCTCTTCAGGAATGTTTGAGTAAATCACCAGCTTTAACTTGTGTTGAGTTACAAGGTTTACCATTACGACAACGTGATTTAAATGCCATTGTTAAAGTGAGTTATTTCCCTTTTAATGTTTAACTGTCCGTTTGATCCATTCGTTTGAAATTTGAATCTTCTTATACGCGTGTATCTATATCTATAATTTTCTGGGCTTAAAAGTTACATTATCAACGCAATTTTTCTTGAGAATGTTAAAGTACTTGATAATCAAATGTTATTCTTCCCATAATGCAAAGAAAAGTTTCATTTTCCATTATAAATAGTCTAGAATTCTTAACGCAGACCCAAACGAAGCGGAAGATGAAGATCCAGATAGAACATTGTCACAGGCTCTTGTAAATGATTCTTATTCGTTTTTATTCCTGGTAATTTTCAGGGTCTGGCGAAATCTTCGCATTTAAAACATCTGTCAATGGAACAATGTTTAATAGGAGACAAGGGAATAGAATGTAAGTTGTTTTCACATAGGTTTATGATGAACTGGGCATCTTTTCTCTTATACTGGAGCACAAATTTGGACATAAAGCAATTTCAATTAGCTCTTCTTTTGTCTTGGACTCTTTTCACCGTCAGTGTTCAAATTTTGCTTCGTGAGGTAATTTATGACGAATTTCTTTCTAAATAAACAGCTGTTTTTTTCACATATACCTCTATGACGTGAAAATTAACCATGAAATTGAGAATTTTGGCACTTTTTAATTTAATATTTACAGGGTTTCTCAATAGAAATATTTCTATTATAAATTGATCATTAGCATGCTAATCGATACCCAACCCTACTTATAACAGTTTATTTTTAAAATGAAATATCTACCTTTCATCATAAAATATTCTATTTTATTTCTCTAGTGGTATGTAAGGCTATAAAACAGTCAGTGAATATCAACTCTGTTAATTTCTCAGCCTGTAATTTATCAAGTCACGGAGCTGAGTCTATAGTATCTGTTATTAAGGTAAGCTAATTCTGTTATTTAATCACTCACTTCCCACTGTTTTACACCAGGCCATGTGACATGGCCAGTGCTTCTATAGGAGAGTATCTAATACCAGGCTATGATAAAACATCGTTAATCTAACTGACTAATTAAACTAAGTTTAGAATCAATTTAACACATCAGATTCCCCAAAAATGGCCTTGGTCATTGAAATATACTTAAGTTCTTGCCAAAGGAGAAATATCCTCTAAAATATAGGGCATGAACGTCTGCACAGGCAGTTTTCTTTAGAGGGAGGACAACCACACAATTTTCATTTGGTCCATTAAATTCCTAATTGGGTATAAGGTGTTAAAAAAAAAAAACCATAAATTTAGAAAAATGCATTATAAATGTGGATAATTGGGTAGTGGTGCACTTAAACTTGTTGATACAGCTCATTTTCAGCTATAAGTAATGCATTTCAAATCAGATCAAACAATAATCTCACTCAAGGACATGATACTTTACCATTCAAGATCTTATATCTGCTTGGAAGACTTAATCAATTGAGACTACTGAATCTTCTGGCGATGTATTTGTGCTATCTTCTTGCTGAACATAGTTTTGAAGCTTTTATTATATATAATTACTTGTTCTATGTATATTATTGTGGTCTGAAAAAATGTATGAAAATAGTTGTTATCTCCCTTGCATCAGTGGGTGTTTTGGAATGGTATTTATTGCATTATTGAATGAAAATGCAAAGAGCATGATAGGAAAATACATTGGAAAAGAAGGAAAAATAAGTATAAATTTCTTTTATTGCTTCTGAGAATTAAACAGGAAATAATAATCATACATTGATATATTCTCCGTCAGGATCTTTGGCAATTGAGTTAATATCTAGAAACTCGAGTGTTCCTTCACAGATATCAAAATTATCAAGATTATCCTCGATACTGATAGATATCGCAGGGTTTGTAGTCCTTTCTCCGTTGATTAATGCTGTAGTCGTAAACATACTGTCTAATTTCCTATCACTTCTCGCCTTGGAAGAATCAACGATCGGAAATATCCCTATAGTATGAGAACGATGTATTTTTCGAATCATTCCGTTCGAGTCTATTGTCTCTGAAAGTAAGAGTGTGTCGTCACTATTTGAGCTGTAGAATTGATTGGAATTATTAACAAGTGGTGTCCGAGACGGACTGGAGGGAAAATCGTCATTTTTTATTTGCGTAAAACTTGGATACGTCCGAGACCTAGGAGCCTTTTTTTTCGGGGAGCCATCGTCCTCACACGTTTCCGTGTCCGTATTATCCATATCATCTAATTCATATTCAGACTCCTGTTCACATTTCTGTAATGCAAACACCGTGTTTTTCTTCCGACAAAACGCTAACACTAATCCTGTGGTGGAAATCGTCACAACTAAAAACAACGACATTATAATGATCACTGCGATAAATGAATTATGATTATGGAAATCGATGAAACTTTTTGTGTAAATCATTTCATTTGCATCAACATCCTCCGAACCGTTTTGTAATTTTTGAGAAATTGCTGAAACTAGGTCAGATTTCGTAGCATTTGTTTCATTCATTTCCAGATTTCACATTTTGTACACGTCTTCGTTCCACAGATTCAATTTTTTTATTTCATCATTTCCCATTAATCCGTTTCCGTGTATCGTGGTGCTTTTTCAATTACTTTGCACAGTTCTTCATTCAACAGAATTAAATTTGAAATTTCAACATTAATTTTCACAAAGTCGAGGGTAATTTTAAATGTCTTTTAAGTGATTAGGTGCTGCGAGTCGAAATCCTCAGAGTAATGAAAATTCTCATAACCCAGCAAGTGTTTCAGAGAGCTGGCCAGGTGTCCTGTTTCACTCCCTATCACAAAGGTCACAAAAATGTAGTAATAAACTGGCACATAAACTCACTGCTTGAATAGCTCAATACAGACAGTGTTATCAAGTAGATCACATTGATAAAATGGATATTTTCTTATGAATGATTTTCTTACTGTGATATTATGTTGTAAAAATCCAATACAGTAAAGAAGACTGAATGAAACTAGTGGACTAGATGGTACAGAGCATTTTCTCTACACTTTACTTACACTAGATTTCAAACGAGATTTAAGAATCGTTCATCCAGGTTTTATTGTTCAACTAAAATTGAAGATAAATTGATGATGCTACTATTACACAAAACCAGTGCTTTACATAGAAGTTGTTACTAACTTCTACACTTTTTATTCAATCCCTTACACTTACAGCAAGTTAGGAGTAGTTGAACCAGACTGATCAATGGTTGTACCTAGTATATTAAATCAAGTATTAATCTGTCTCAATGTAACAGTACATTAAAGTTACTGAAACTTGAGAAAATGATATTTCTGTATATAAGGCCACAGAATGTTTCACAAAGTATCACAAATTAAAAGACTGTGTCCTATTCAATAGTTTTGAGATACCAGTCAGTTTTAGAACATTGGAATGAACTTTTCTCTATATAAGACCACAGGATGTGCTACAAAGTATCACAAATTAGGTTGTGCTGGTCTGTAAATTGTGTCTAATAGTTTTGGTAAACTTGTCAGCTTTTTTATTCTAAATCCATTAAATTTTCACCAACTTGAGTGCAGTAGACCAATTCAATGACTCTAGAATATGACATTTCTCCTTAAAACGTGTCACAAAGTATCATTCAAGTTGTTTCAGTCTAGAAACTCTCTCTTTGAATTAATGTTTGAAAGGTATCTGTAAATTTTCTCCTTGAATTCTGTGTCAAGTTTTTTTTTAAAAGCTAACTATATCACCAAGATGAAGTATGTTCTCCTGGTTTCAATCCATTCAAATATCCATTAACTGTATAGGTTTTAATAACTATGATGGTTTAGTGTGAGATAGCTGGTATTTCATCTGTTACCATACATTGTACTATTATGTATCACTTTATATATCTGAAAATAGAAAAATTCACACATATTAGACAGGGATATGATTGTTATTTTTATCCTGCAATACAATAGAATGTTCTGTGATGTGATGTTCTAACCACATGATTAGAATCTGGAAGTTAATTTGATATCTTTAAAAAAAGCATAAAAATGAGTACTTTGACCCAAATGACCCAAACTTTGTCTGATCTTGCCATTAAATTAATCCTATTTTGAAATGTACTTATAAAATAAATTAATTCCAGTTGGAAAGCGGATTCATAATAATACTAATATAATTTGAATTAATAAAAAAATATCAGATCTCATTATTAAGCCTCATATTACCATTATAAAGTTCCTACTTTAAATTGCACTTATAAACACATTAATTCCAGTTGGAGAGCAGATTGATAGCAATATACAATTAGATAGATGAAATTCTATAGAACTAGTTAATACAATGTGTTACAACTATTCAATCACACTCAATCAAATTATTGAATTTTTCATATCATTGTTAATAGGTAAAGTTTTGCTGTGGTTGCACCGAGTGGCACTGCATTTCATTAAAAGCTTCTGGGGTTGTTACACTGCACCGGGTGGCACTGCATTTCATTGAACGCTTGAGTTAAATAGATATTGAAAGAGTTTTATGGTAATTTTAAATAATGGACTCTTGATATTTATCTCAACTTAAAATATTAATAGTTTTAATACATGTTTTATAACTGATTTGAGTGTGAAAAGCAATAAAACTAAAATGTAGCAAAAATGTCATAAATTGAACAAAAACACTCAATTAAAACTATTTGTCCTGGAAAACATTTATTGTTTCTCGTAATCTGAAATTAAGGCCAAGAGAGTTGACCTAAGTCAATCTGTAAAATGGCTCCAGGTCCAAGGTTCAGGATTTGAACAGGATGGACAGGAGACTTCACAATATTGGTGTTTCCTTAAGAACCTTGGTTGATATCTGTGGAAGAAAAGAATGTTTCTCTCCAAGATACAAGTTTTCAACAAGGACCAGCTGATACACAGGATCACACAATTTTTATCCTTGTAAAATCATTACCAATGGGTTGGCGAAGGACCAGCAGGCAGAAAAGATCCTTATGAAGCCAAGTTATTATCCTTGTAAAATCATCACCAAGAGGTTTGACCAAGGACCAGCTGGTAGAAAACAATTCACAGGATCTAAATTGTAATACTTGTAGAATATTGCGGTGTTAAGGGTTCAAGATTTCTACAAGGACCAGCTGGTAGAAAATAATTCACAGGATCTAAATTGTAGTCCTTGTAAAATATTGCCCTGTCAAGGGTTCAAGGTTTCAACAAGGACCAGCTGGTAGAAAACAATTCACAGGATCTAAATTGTAATCCTTGTAAAATATTGCTGTGTTAAGGGTTCAAGGTTTCAACAAGGACCATCTGGTAGAAAACAATTCACAGGATCTAAATTGTAATCCTTGTAAAATATTGCTGTGTTTAGGGTTCAAGATTTCAACAAGGACCAGCTGGTAGAAAGCAATTCACAGGATCTAAATTGTAATCCTTGTAAAATATTGCTGTGTTAAGGGTTCAAGGTTTCAACAAGGACCAGCTGGTAGAAAACAATTCACAGGATCTAAATTGTAATCCTTGTAAAATATTGCTGTGTTAATGTATTTGAAGTATAACAGCTTATGAGCCAGAATGAGGTTGTTTGTATTCCATAGAGAACAATTCGACCACTGAAAGAGATGATTATTTCATTTTATTACACACGACATGGGTAATTTTCTCTATTTTACAATAATTTGGTGGAAAACTACATGATAAGTCTGACTTTATTACTGTGTTAAATCGATTAAAAAAAAATTCACGTTTCTAGTTGTGTCTGTTTCTGTTTATTTAGTCAACATTGACTGTGGTATCAGAATTTTCTTACTGTGATGTGGGGATTCAAACCCATGGCACCTAATTGCCCAGCAGATAATAATTCAACTTGCTATCAACTGAACCATTCCACTGACACAAAAGAGATAGAAACTCAGAGAGTCCTGAAGATAGACCTCTGTTATTTTGACATGTTCTCAAAATCTTAAAGC